ACGACAAGGCTGAACTTTGATGTGGAACAACTGCCATCAGACCTCCACAACCAAAGTAGGTGTTATCAAAGCTCTGTAGACAGACTGTTGTAGATCGACTTGTTTTTTAGCGGGCTGAGTTGGTCTCTAATAAATATGAAATTAAATCTAAATTGAGACTTAACTTGTCTAACATTTTACACAGTAGCGCAAAGATCACATAAATCATAGCGTACGCGCTCTTTTGTGTATATAAACATCGCAAATAACTGTATGAAAGTTAGTTTTGATTTACCTGATACAAAAGTTGTTTACTTAATGTGATGTTTATTTACCGATAAAAAGTTACATCACAAATTTTTTTCTTTGCTGTGGATTGATTTTACACGTTTTAACACATACGATGTTATTTTTTAATTGCAATGTTAGTTTCGTCATTCGATCACTGAGAGCCTAGCCGAGCGCCTGGATGCGTTTCTGCCGGCCGGCGCTATGGCGCAAAATACTGCATCGCGACGTCAGTTCTATACGCTAGTATTATTAGTTCAATATGTGGTATAGTTACCGGCACGGATCTTGAGCGCTCGACGGCAGAGTGTGCACTTAGCGCAAAATAAAATGCATACCCATTTAGTACTATTTATTTTTCTCATTTAGAATAGAATAAAAATAGATCAAAACATACGATGTTACATTGTAAAGTTACTACGTAACTTCTAATTGATTTAAGAGAAAATGGTTTTAATTAAAATTTAAAAAAAAAAACGCACATTCACAAGAAAATAGGTGTACAAAGTCTTATACTTAAATGTACATATAAATATAGTGTTGCGCCATAGGATTAAATGGTTCGATTGTGTGAAATGTGGAGGACAGCGCCATCTAGTATCGACTAAAGTACATATATTAAGATTGTGATTAATACGAGTAGTTCTGATCCTTACAGCGCTAGGTGACGCTGCAAGTAACGCGTGACTGATTGTGGAATATTCGTGTTTAATCGAACGGACTGTCGAACACTAGGAACTTTCTAGTGAAATTCAAAAGCGCTATAAAAGCGGAGCGTGTTGGCCATTCGACACAGTTTTGTTTTACGACACAGCGAATTAACATCGGAGTGAATTCCTTGTGCGAATAACAAGATATATAGTGATTCCTAGTAGTAAGTGTTTGTAAATACAGTGATATAAAGTAATTAACCGACAACTTTTATTTATTACATACCCCGCTTGTAACAATAGATTATATGTATGTCGAATTCTTTTTTTGCCAATGCAATGAATAATATTTACAACAGCTGCAAAAACTCAACAATACGTGCTAAAATTATATTTAACACAGCACAGTGTGTAATCGGGATTTTAGAAACCTTCGATGCTATTTGACTAAAAACGACATATTGCCCATCTAATACCTCATAAATTTATAAGTTATATTTTCTATCTTTTTATTCGTATATGTAGGTACATAAATGTAGAGAGTTACCTTAATCTATTGTTAAACCTTATAAATAGGAGTAATATCTGCATGGTAATTTTGTTCCAATAAGCAAAATCTTGTTGGAAATTGCTAGCATAATGGATATCATTTTCATATTTTAAGTGGCGGAGCTGCACGATCATTGTAATATATTATATAAAAAATGGTTGTGAGCCCAGCCCAGCTTCTAAACCATTTAAGAATTGAATGAACATTAATGTTTCTGTTACAGTATTGATAATATTCAAAAGCTCGTTCATCAAAAGATGCGGGTAAGAAAAACCACTTCTCAACATCTATCAATTGGATTGCCACACAAAACCTACACGGATGTTATGTATCGAACCCAAGGATGATAAAAGCCCGATCTGTCAAGTTCAGGGTATAATTTAATCTAGGAAAGTGTTGATATTGATGAGTTCACGCATGTTTGACAAAATAGGTTTAACAGTTCCCAACCATTACCTTGAATTAATCGTCTATTTGTATTAGATGTGGTATCGATGAATGAATATGAATATTTACGGGAAGACTTGTAACTCTAAACCTTATATTTTTATGTCGCACGCTTAACGAACATTTTCCCGGCAAAGGCAACAATTGCCAATCCTTAAGATTTCGACTATTCATATCATACATTTATATGAATCTTGATGTATTACAGTTCTAATAAACTTTTTTCAACAAGTATTAAAAACAAATACTTTTTATTATATCCGCGAATGTGATCATGTATCATTTGAATATTTTTACCAGCTTAGAGTTGTTGTCGTAAATTCTGTTTTTGAGAAAGTTGCGTGCTTGTGCGTAAATGACCACACGTTAACTTTAAATTTTGTATTTGTATAACCAGGATTGAAAGAACTGAACTGAAAGAATTTATTCAAGTTTTTTTTTAATTTAACATTCGATACTAGGTACTATACGCAAACAACCGTTACTGTTCAACATTATTCTAATTTATTAAAGAAATATACTGACAAGTAACTTATTTTAATTTGAATGATTAAACATTGAAATACAAGCGTCTAGGTCTAGACGCAAGGTCTAACAAATAGTTGAATACAACAGGTGTTGAAAAGTCATAAACTTCTTAGGTGTCCCCGTACCTTTGTACGGGGTATTTGGTAAAACAAAGGCTCAATGTTTTCGTCAAATTGGAGACACGAAAATTGGGTTTAATTTGATTTCCTGATTCATCTCGCGTTATATCTCATTATTTTTACATTTCGTGCGCTATGCTTGAGATTCCTGTAAGAGAATATATTAAAAAAAGGGAAAACGCTTAAAAAAGTTTTATTAAATTTAAATACAAAATAAATTGTTGAGGTTTAAATTAATACGTTTTTGGTTTTTCTTGTTATAGCACTTAATTTATTAAAAGACTATCAAAGGGGTTCATCAAACTTATGGACATTAGTCTGCCGCGTTAATAGCGTAACATAAATTTATTATCGTCTAGGTTTGCGTGCCCTGTGAAGTAATGGTGTCAATTACTGTGTCAGCCGAGTTCATATTAAAGTTTTATTCTTAGTCATTCTTAACAGAAGCACAGAATAAACGTGTTTGACAGCGTGTTTCTGGGGCCAAAAATATGCCAGACAACATGTGGATGAATTAAGGCGCAAGTAATTAAATAGTATTGCCAAGGTTATTAAGCCACATTAACATTTACTGTCAACTTTCTGTTTGCATTTTTCTATGTTTTTCTGAGGCTGTAAGGCTGAAAGGCAAATGGAGGCCAGCTTTATATACTAGCTGACCCGCGCAACTTTGTCTGCGTCTTTCAAAAGGAGTAAATTTACCCCATTTTTATAACATTTATCATTGATCACATCACACATCAACAGCCTATAATGGTTCACTGCTGGACATAGGCTTCTCCTTACCACGCTGGCCAAACGGGTTGGTATAGGGTTTGTGTCAAGTCCTTCTCTTTGCAGTGCTGTCCTGCGTAGTTTGCTCCCTTAGTCGGCTCTTACGACACCCACGGGATGAATAGGGGTGGTGACATTCCGTATTCTTAATCCGTCACCACACGGATATTTTCATTGATGCTCGGCTTCTATTGGTCGTATCGTATTCCTATGGTTCCTGAGATAGGTTCCGCGTTTAGCGAAATGCCAACTCTTCAGATTCTGATTTGAACAATTTTTTTTTAAAGAATTCATTTTTTTTTCAATTGTAACAGTTTTAGATTTGTAGTTATGACGGAAATTATAGAAATTAATTTTGTGTCCACTACGTGGTTGCATAGGTGCACGGGTTAAGTGGAGCCAATTTATTACGGTTTGCACCTCAATAGTCATTGACACTTTTAATAACAACTAAATAAAATTAATAATATAGCGTTTGTATAGAATTAGTACATAGGTTAATTTAAATGTAATTAAATTAAATGGTATTGAGAGAGAAAAAAATACGATTCTAAGATCTGTCTTTTGCATCAGACGAATACAACGTTCAAGTTTTTTTTTTTCATGTCACACACCCTTGTTACAATTTATAGTTTTCAGAATAATACATCGTGTAATCATATACTACCATATTAATATAGTATTAATTAATATAGTCATCATATAATAAATAATTAATAATTGTATGATGTGCATTTGTTCTGTATCTGGGTGTAATTTATCTAAAATCTGTATGTATTTATAAATATTTAAGTAAATTTATCAGCAGACAGGTTACCATAGCACAAACTTTGCTAAGTTTGGGATCAGACAGATGTGCGAGATGTGTAAGGTTATTATTGTTAATATTGTAAAGCCACCCACGGAGGGACTCGAACTATTATGATATCTAAAGTATCCTGTAACCAATATAATTGTTACAGGATACTTTGTATAATAGTTCCAGAAGGGTATATTTGATCATAAAATTTAAAATGATTAATATAATGATCAAATATACATTCCTAAAATGCCAATTAAATATTCACAGCATAATAGGCTAAATAAAAAGATCCGTGAAATGATACGTGGGTACAATTTATAAATTCTTGTATGATGAAGCGCTTCCCTATCTGCGCTGAGCTGGTATAGAGCAGTAATTATGTAATATGTTTCACGTTTTTTAATAATTTTCATTTTATTTGATATTTTCAAAGTTAAGTATCTCGAAATTTACTTATACATGTTAGTCGCTAAGTTACTGCCTCACTAGTAGATCACATACTTTTATATTAATTTATGTCTTATGGCTGTTACAGTATTTTGTTAAAGCCTCAAAACATAAAAGTCTTACATTTACATCTTACATTCATAAAGTCTTACATTACATTTTGACATAGAGACTAGAAATATTAGCGGTAGAGTATTCTTGAGTAGACTTATGTGTTTGATTTTTTTTACTTAAAAATTACAAAAAAAGGTGCGGGCCTTCTTAAAAAAATATATTCAAAAAATTACTAAACATTTATCAAAATATACAATGTTTTAACCTTTTTTTTCTTTTATTTGGGGTTTTATGTAAATTAATACTTACAAATGTTTTTGTTACAGAATCCATATTACACAATTGAAGTCGCATGACGAAACATGGACAGCGGAGGCAACAATACCACATTATATGAAGACGTTGGCTTATTCCCAACAGAATATACACTTCATAAAGATATGAATCCAGGTGATAACATACTGGAGAATTTGGTGTGGCCAATTGAAAAATGTGTAGAAAACTTACTTCGTAATGGTACACAGCCAGAAAATATAACGGAAATCACATTAGTTTATAACGGTACTAAAGTTACGTGTCTATCACATGCCCCAATTTTGACTAAAAGCACAATAATTAGGGCAAGTGTTTTATCAGCAATGGCAGTTTTATCTTTTTTTGGCAATCTGGCTACAATCGTGAGTATCCAGCGAGGTAAAAGGAGTCGCGGCAGAGCGAGACCTTCATGGACAGCAATATACAGTTTAATATTCCAACTAAGTATAGCTGACTTACTAGTGACGGTGTTCTGTTTAGCTGGAGAAGCAGCGTGGTCACTAACAGTTGAATGGTACGGTGGAAATATTGGTTGTAAATTATTCAAGTTTCTTCAAATGTTTGCCCTGTATTTAAGTACTTTTGTGTTAGTACTGATTGGAGTAGACAGATGGTTAGCCGTAAAGTATCCTATGCAAAGTATGGCTACAGCTACGAGAAGCAGAAGACTAGTAATTATAGCATGGGTCCTGAGCTTCGTGTTAAGCATACCACAGGTCAGTAAACTTCAAACAGTTTTCGGAAAAGCTTCGAAACTATTAAATGGCAATTTTCTTAAGAAATGTTATATGTAGAACTTTCCTTGTTGTTTATGAAGAAAGTTACAAAATGGAACTTTTACTTTGTGGTAAAAAACTTTGTTAATTAAAACACAGTTACGTTAATTAATTGACGGCGGTAGAGTTGTAGGTGCACCTGACACGAAATTAAAGCTACGACATCATTAACTTACTTACCTCTAAAAATGTAAAAGATTTTTTTTAGTTGGTAGAAACTTAACCTTAAATATATATTTGACTTTTTAACTCCAGTACAGCCTTAAATTTGTAATTACCTTATCACAAGTCTGAGGCCTAACCTATTGTAATTATGAGAGTTTTACATACTTACGATGACTATGAATCATACAATTAAAAAAAAAAGTGTGTGTGTGCAGTTCACTCACGGCAGAAGTGTAACTTCCGATTTTTAATCTCAGAAAAACCCAATGAAATTTTGCCCGGCCCATGAATCGAACCCACTAACGAACGAAGTCGCGGGTACCAGCTAGTGTTAAATAAAAAGATAAAAAATTCACACTGTCAATATATTATATTAACTCGCCGACTTAATTCGCCTTATTCGTTTCATCGAGTTTCAAATCACAACGATTCACTTCACACAAAAATTAATAAAATATTGGAGTACAAAATACTTATGTTATTTTGTGGATCCAACAACGAATAAAAATTACAAGATTTGAATACTACAATAATAATTCACTTCCTTTAAGGTTTGTCGATGTTTTAAAACATCAATGTTAAATTTAATACAGTTATTATATGAATACATACGCTGACCTTGTTAAAATCTTTTTGTAATAAAACAGATATCTAAAATACCTTTTTAAGATTTTTATCTTCTCGATTTTCAACCTTATCTTTGTGATTATATGTTACATATTGGTATAAATTTATTGGAAACTGCTCGAAGTAGCTGTTCCAAGTTTTATATTATGTAACGGCATTGTATAATGAGGATAATTTATGAAAGGCTCATGTACCAATTTTGCTTGTTTGGATGTACTTGCTAGCAAGTCTGATCACATCATAGTCATATGAATTTTAAGTATTACATGTAAAAGTAGGATTATCCGAGTTAATATTTAAAGGAACATAAAAATTTCCTTAAAATTGGAATCTTGATTCGTGCTTACAAACAGTACAAAACCTACGTATCACCAAACATAGAACGAGCCAGTTTTATTTCAGAAAGCCGACTGTAATAACGTGTAAATAAAGTAAAGACGAAGTAAGTTAACGTGATGCAGAAAATATCAGCTTGCAGTAAATACAACAAAATCGCTTATATCGATACTAAATATACAAAATAAAATACACAAAGATATAAAATCAACGAAAAATTACAATAAAAATTACAAACACAACAATTTTATAATGAGATCACTTAGATGAAACTTAAATACCTATACCTGAACCTTACTTTACTATATTATTTAGGAAGAGTAACACCCATGAATGAATATGTATATCCAAGTGTTATTTATAAAATATAAGGTTTCGGCAGAACCCTAAAGCAGGGCATAGCATAACTATAAAAGCATAACTAAAAAACTAATCTGAGAAACTCTACCTATTACAGGCCTTATTGCCATACATACATAAAAAAAAGTGATACCCGAGTAGTTCTTACAAATCAATAAATAAAGAAGAAGTACTGGTTTACATTATAATATTTTTGTTTCAGATTATTATATTTAACGTGGTTAGAGGCCCTTTCATTGAAGAATTCTCGCAGTGTGTTACTCATGGGTTCTACACAGAACCTTGGCAGGAACCAACTTACACCACCTTGACATTTCTTTTCATGTTTATTTTACCCCTGGTCATTCTTGTGTCAACATACGTGTCTACAGTTAGGACTATTGCTCGTAAGTATACAATGTTAAAAAAAAAAAACACTCATACTTCATATATTGTTGCCTCTATGTACTCGTAACATTTCACATTAATAATAACTGTGTAAATATGTGTTGTTATTAATTTAAGTTTAACGTTAACAACAAGAAATTTTGTTAAAGAAAAAGTAGATTTGTATTAAAAATAATGTTTTAACAGTTATTATAATAATCTAGACAAACGTAGGATTTGGTGTTATTTAGCGCTTAGATTCGTTCCGCGAATTCGAAGACGGAGCGTGGCCTGACGACATGGTCAAGGTCGCGAGAAGCCGTGTGATGCAGGCAGCACATGACCGGTTGTTGTGGCGGACTTTGAGGGAGGTCTTTACCTAGCAGTGGAAGTCTTACCGCTGAAATGATGATAATGATAAATCTAGCAGTAGACTGAAAAATTACGAATATCCAAGTGTTATTTGGAGAGTCTGCGCAAACTCTCTATGAAATAATATAAAGGCGTTTTACATTATTACTGAGGATAGGACGAATCGGCTTTGTTGGATTCTATCCGATTAAAATCGTACTACACCGTAATATAACATCCTTTAATATAATCCTATTATCCCTTATGACTCGGTGACGAATTGCTTTTTGCTGACACCACTAAGCTATCTTGGTAATATTTATTCAGGTTTTCCTTCTCGTAAACCCCAAGAGTAATAATTCATTGAGATAAAAGCCTAACTTAAGCTGGTGAAAAGACTGTATCCGTAAATTTATCTATCCTTTTACTGCGTTAAAGCTTAATAATGAAAATAAATTAATTAAAAAATACATAAAATTAATGTATGATAAGGATCTCCTTAATAGAATTTGATTTGAAATTATTTCATGTTTTTTCCGCAAAGCAATTATCTACTTGAAAGTGGCTTCTCCGCTTGTTGTTTTGAAAACTGGTTGATTATTTACTTTTTCTTCTTCTAAAAGCTTCTTACTTTACTCATATAATTGGTAAGAACACAAAATATCAGTGTATGATATTAAATTGTAAGTTTTCTTAAGATTTTTAATAGAGCTTTACATTATGTGTGCAATAATGCTATAAATATATATGTAATAGCATTTATAGCATTATTGCGATATTAAATCACATTTTTTTTACGTTTTAATAAAATAAACTAAAATAAATAAACTGTTAGACTACATTAATTTTTATTTAGAAACACAATAAGAAGAAAGCTTTAGTAATTAATGGTAAATATGTTGAACCCATTTCGTGTCCGCAGACAGTGAAAAATTATTCCAGCCCGAAGTGGGAAGACTAGAGAAGAAACACTTTACTCCAGATATGAACCGACGCAGATTAATAAATAGAGCTAAAATGAAGTCTTTAAGAATGTCAGTAGTCATTGTAGCTGCCTTCCTCATTTGGTGGACTCCTTATTATGTAATGATGATGATTTTCATGTTTTGGAACCCAGATAATGAAGTAAGTATTTACTATAGCTTTTGAAGTGAATTTAACGGGGTCTCAAGTCTTCTATTTAATTTTATTCACTAAGATGCCATTGACATCGGTCAAGATATCAGTATTCTACTAACAGAAATTCACAGTGTCAATAGACTGTCGATGTAGTGACAATGGATCATTGATGGTGTGGTGGTATTAAGTAGTAAATTTCCACAAAAAAAGTGCAAAACTATTCCGACTATATTCCATTCTATTGAAACAATATGAAATAATAAGAATTGAGGCCCTGCCCTTTTCGCAATGACGAACTTTAATTGTGCGCTTTTCAATTTTTTTAATAAGCTGAAATGAATGACTTGTCGGTTCACTGGTTAGAGATTCTGACTGCTACGCTAGAGGTGGATTTGATTCCCACTTACGACCAATAATTGTGTGATGAGCATGATCATTTGGTCAGTGTCTGAGTATAATTTATCTAAAATGTGTATGTTTTAACGATGTATTTAAGTATGTTTGGTTTGTGGAAAGTAATTATCATTACTCGTATTAATATTTATAATGATCGACCTATCCTCTACTTATACACTACCGATTCTCATTTCATTAAAAAAATACTCTTTGTGAGAGATAGTAAACTGATTCTCAAATTAAATAACATTAAGACGAGTAAAGCCGCTTTAAAAATAAAGGTTCATACTTCAAAATTTATCATCATTTATTAAGAATCAAGTATTTACTTATATCAAATGAAATCATCAATCAAATTACCGCAAGTGGTTGCGGTAATTTGATTGATGATTCGGTTACACGAAAGTAAAAGTATTTTACAATAATGTAATCTTCGAAGAAAATTCACTGAATTATTTTAGTTGACAAAGGGTTTTTTTAATTTGCTGATTGATACAATATAATCCCTTTACGTAGGAGAATGAAATTAAGAACCCGTAATTACATTTTTGTGTTTTGTTCTAAATATTTAGTAAAAGTTCTTATTTGAGGACAAGCACTCAAGAAATTCTTTGATATTGTTTAAAATGTGAGTTTTTTAATGCTGTGTGTTGAAATATCTAAAAAAAAAACTTATTTTCTTCCTATAATCATTAATCTAAAAAGTTGATAAGATTTTTAAAATACTGAAGACCAGAATACCATAAGTTATATTAGTATCTACTAGGAACTACAAGTCAAAAATGTATTTAAAATAAATAAGACGTCATACGAAATGCTATGTTTTAAAAAATGTGTATTTATTAGAAAAGAAACATAATTTCCTTTTTTTTCACAGCTTAGTGAGGAACTTCAAAATGGGATATTCTTTTTTGGAATGTCAAACAGTCTAGTCAACCCCGTGATTTACGGTGCATTCCATTTATGGCCCAAAAAAAGAGCACACCGACGCAGTGACAGGTAAATATATAATTATATAATATATTTTCATGTAAATTGTAAACACACAATAAAAACTGCACCGAGTTTTATATTCAAACATTTTTGTTCTTTTAAAGACTTTTAAAATAATGTTTGACCCGCTTAGGATAGCGACTTCCATAAACAGTTAGTTTATAATATTTAATCAAAATTCATCAATTAAAATAAAAGACAATTATGTGAAATATCATGTTAAGTTACTGTGACGTATGGAAGTTTCTAATTAGTTCAATCGTCGTCTAATACATTTATACATTATGTGGTCCTTTTTTTTTTTTTTTTTAACGTGTGGAAATCCCCTCGAACCGTCACCCCTCCGGGGTTTGCGGCGGGTGGTGTGTCGGACTCGGACCGACTAAAACCACACGGTGTGCCACTCTGCGCCTGTAACAGGAGGGATCCGGGAACAGCTGTTGTTAAGACATCCGGACCCCTCCTAGCGCCAGCCCGCTCCTGGTGCGGGCTCCGTCTCAATGTTTTTGTTCCTCTCTTTAGGCGACGTCCGGCACACGCGGACGCCGCCCCCTCGCGGCTGGCCAAACTAATGCGGGTGGAGGGGAAACCCACCCCGTCCACCCGCGGCCACACTCAGGGCGGCATGAGGCTGTGGTAGGCGGGCCTCCGCCGCCCGGTTCGCCGGCGGCGGATCGGGTCCGAGTGGAGGTCATCCTCCCGGGCCCTCTCCGCCGCCTCCTTCCGCGAGATTACTACCTCGCAGAAGGTTGCGACCGCGGTAAAACAACTGTCGCTACCGGCCATGGAGCGTACTACGGCCGGTAGCGAGAGATCCACTCCGATGACTGCAGTGAGGGCCCGTCGCTGCGCCGCCCATGCGGGGCAGACCGCCAGCGTGTGCTGGGCCGAGTCCTCACTGCAGTCGCAGTGGTGGCAGGCGGGACTCAGTTCCCTCCTAGCGACCGTGTGCAGGTACTTTCCGAAGCAACCGTGCCCGGAAAGCACCTGCGTCAGCCGGAAGGAAAGGGTCCCGTGCTGCCGCCCTGCCCACTCGGCGATGACCGGCTGGAGAGCCTCCACGGCGGCGAAGCCAGCGCGTGGAGTCTCCAGCCGGAACGACCAACGAGCCATCGTGGCTCGGCGAGTGGCTTCGCGCCACTCGCGCACATCCTCGGGCGGAGGGCGAAATCCGCTCTCCGCCCGGGAGTCAGCCACTCGCCGATAAACTTCGGCGAGCACTTCCGCCTCCAAATCCCACGGGGGAGTTCCGGCCAACGCGCATGCCACCTCCGTAGAAACGGTGCGGTAACCGCGTATGGCTCTGACCGCCATTACCCTCTGAGGGCGCCAGAGGCGTACCCTATTCTGGGCGGTCAGAGCCGCCGCCCACACCGGTGCACCGTACAGCGCCATTGACCGGACAACCCCCGTGTACAGCCGTCTTGTCGCGACGCTGGGTCCACCCATATTGGGCAAAAGTCGCCCTAGGGCAGACGCAGCGCCGACCAGCTTTGGAGCAAGCTGTCGGAAGTGCTCGTCGAAGAGCCACCTCCCGTCGAGGATCAGGCCCAGATATTTCATCTGGGCCCGAACCGGTACGAGGACCGAGTTGACCACGATTGAGGCGCCAGGGGGTGGACCACGACGGGGCCCATGAAATAACAGGGCCTCCGTTTTATCTAGGGCCACCCGTAAGCCCAGCGCCTCAATGCGCCCGACCACCAGGGAGACTCCCCCTGTGGCCAGGCGCGCCGCCTCTTGGAAGTTTGCCCCCCGGGCTGTCACGAGGGTATCGTCTGCGTAACAGATTACACCCAGCCCGGGGGGAAATCGGCGCGAAGGGCCCAGTCGTACCCTATGTTCCACAAGAGGGGTCCAAGAACAGACCCCTGTGGAACACCGCACGACATGGGCCGACACCTCAGATTACCTTCTCGGTCCTCGTACACGACGGTACGCTCCTCTAAATAGTCTGCCACTAGCCGCCTCAGGTACTTTGGCACCCCATGATAGTGGAGTGCTTCCCTGATGCAGCTGAATGGCAGACTATTGAATGCGTTGGCGATGTCCAATGACACCGCCAACAGCACGCCGCCACAGCTCACGGCCTCTTCGGTCACGGCCCTCAGGCGCAACACGGCGTCGACTGTCGAACGCCCCGCCCGAAAACCAAATTGGGCGTCCGACAGATCGGGGCCCACCTCGCAGAGGTGCCGGACGATGCGGGCAGAAAGAACCCTCTCAAACAATTTGCCCGCCTCGTCCAGCAGCACGATGGGCCTATAGGCCGCGACCGAATCGGCAGGCCGTCCCGGCTTCCTCAATAGGACCAGCTTCCCGCTCTTCCAGCACTCAGGGAAGCGTCCCGACGCCAAGCTAGCGTCGAACACCTCCCCGAGGCGGTCTGCCATGTGGTTGAGGGCCAGGGCCAGCACTCGGGCCGGTAGCCCGTCTGGCCCAGGGGCGGTGTTCTTGGAACGGATCCGTATCCTACCTCCGAATCCCGGACGGGCGGAACATTATCCTCCCCGTGCTCCCCGTCGTCTCCGGCAAGGGAGGCCATCGACGGGGGAGTGTGTTCCGCCCGTTGTGGGAAAAGGCCCTCAACCACTTCTCGCAGGAAGCTGGGCTGGAGAGTCTCCGTAAGGGGGGGGCCCGACGCGCGGAGCTTTTGTCGCACCGCGCGGTAAGGGCGACCCCAGGGGTCACGATTAAGACCCTCCAGCATCTCCTGTCTTTTTTCTTCTTTGGCGCGGCTAATGGCCAGCTTCAGAGTTTTCCGCGCCCGTCGGTACTCCTCATGAAGCCGGTCCTCCTCACCGTCTCCACGGTGACGCCGCCGACTGCGCGTGTAGGACCTCCGGGCACGTGTACAGGCCGCACGGAGGTCCGCCAGCTCCTGGGACCACCAGTAGACCTCCTTCCTTGGAGGCCGACAACCTCGAATGCGGGGCATGGCCGCATCGCAGATATGCGTAATCGCATCGCGAAAGCGGCCAGCCCCCACGTCGACCTCCTCGGTCGGAGCCTGAGGAGACAGCCACGAGTGAATTATGGCTGCCTCCTCTAGTAGGTCCCGGTTCAGTCTGGCAACAGCCCACCGCGGAAAGCGGGATAAACGCCGCGCCACGTGACCCCTACTGGAGTCCTGGGTCCGGGAGAGCTCAAATCGGATATACAGGTGATCCGAGAGCGTCTCAACCTCTTCCAGGACAAGCCAGTTCCTTACTCGTGCGGCGAGGGCAGGGGTAGCGAACGAGAGGTCCACTATCGACCCCCCCTGCTGTCGCACGCACGTGTTGGTGGAGCCTCTGTTTAGAAGACAGAGGCCCACCGAGGCCGCCCACTCCTCTACGGCCTCGCCCCTTGCGTCCGTCCTGGGGGAACCCCACGCAATGGACTTTGCGTTGAAGTCCCCCAGCACAAGGACGTGCCCAGACGCTAGTCGCCGTATCGAGGTCTCCAAACTGGTTAGGAAAACCTCGAAGTCGTTCAAACTCCGGTTGGGGGAGACGGCCACGGAGCCGTCCCAGTCACCCATCCAGTTTGGACGGGGAGGGACAGAATAGGGCTCCGCGACTACGGCAACACCTATCGACCACTGTGCCATGGTTTGCTCCGCGCACTTGGTAGGCCTGGCGATCTTGACACCATCTGTGGTCGCGAATAAACTCCGCAGCCTCTCAGCGAAAGTGTCCGCCGTCTTGGCGCCTTCAGCCCCTGGGAACTCGAGAACTCGAGCTCCCGTTTGGGCGAGGCGCATCTTGACCCCCACCGTCCCAAAGTCGTTGGCGAGGCTGTCCCGGGCCTTTTTAAACACGGCCGCGTAGGACAGCCCGCCGTCAGCCGCCTCCGGGGACACGGTCACCACTACAGCCGCGGTTTTGGGCGGCTGCAGCTTCCGCGGCCTCTTTGCAGAGGCCGTTGCCACCGGTGGCGAAGGCTGGGCTTGGGCTGCTTTTTGGGCAGCCCTTCTGGCCCGCCTTCGGGACTTCTGAGAGCCCCTCGCCTCCTGCCAACCCTCGTTGGAGGGGGCAGGTGCGGAGGGGCCCGGATGAGGTGTCGGAGTGGGGAGCGGAGGGAATGCCACTCCGCTCCTCGGCGCCGTTTTAGGCCCCGTCTTGGCCGGCGCCTGGGGATGTGCCTTGGCCGGCGCCTTAGCCGGTGCCTTGGCCGGCGCCTGGGCCGGTGCCTTGGCCGCCCTCCTCGGCCTTTGGGGAGCCCATGGAGTAGGGGCAGACGCCGCCGCCGCGTAAGAAACGCGGCCTCCCACCACGGGGAGCGCGGTCGGAGCGGCGGCCTTAGGCCGCTGTGCCGACGCGAGCGGGGGGCGCATAATCGGCGCAGGAGGCAGTCTCGCCTCCAGGCCAGCCAGGCGTCCGTCCAGCATATTCCCAACTGCGATGAGGATTTCTCGCAGTTGGGAGTCAAATGCCCCTGAGTTGATGGTAGGGGCAGGCTGGGACGCGGACGGGGCTTCCCGCTCGGGGAGGTTCGCCTGGAAGCGGGCGAACTGAGCGCTCAGCTCGTTCACCCGCTCCGTCAGCCTCTCGTTGGCCACCTGCAGGCGAGACACATCGCCCACTAGGCCCTCCACGACCTCCGACAAAGCGGAGGAGGAGTCCTTAAGGGCCCTCACAAACGAGCCCTTAAGGTTCACGGACTTGGTGGCCACCTTGTGAATGACGGCCACCGCCGCTTTCGCCATCTCCTGCACGGACACGGGAGCCTGGGGGGCATTTTCCCCCACCGGCTCCCGAACCTTGAGCAGGAGATCCGCGATCTCCTCCTCCGCTACGGCCTCGCCGTCCACCCGTACGTTCCTGTACGACTCCGCGTTTGAGAACGCGGAGCCTGACAGGGTCGAGACCGGGGCCGAGGCAGGTTTGCGTGCCCTCCCTCGGCGGCTGCTTGCCACCTTTGGTGGCATCATCTCCTGGGACGTGTCGGTTTCCTCGTCCCTGGAGCGTCCTCGTTTCCGGCTGTCGCTTCGCTCCGCCTCCATGGCGTCAGCGCCATCCGACGAAACGGCGGATCCGGAGCGCAGCCGATCTGATGCTCTTCGGCTCCCAGAGACCAGCGTCAGACTGACTTCTGGGAGCCCCATCGAGATAGGCGTCCCCGACGCCACCTCACCCTCAGTGGACGACCCATCCGCTCCACTGTTCTGTTTCTCCTTCCTTCGGTTTGCTTCCTTTTCCGTTAGGCTTGCCTGTTTTCGTTGTGTTTGTCCGATCGTTTTCTTTAGGTTTTGTTTATGTTTTCCATAGTAAATCCCACGAGTGGGGGAGAACTAAAGGTCCACCCGGGCAGAGATCCAGACTTAACCACAGCGCTCTTCTCGGGATTACGATATGCTGACGGTTGACAGGGAGACTACGTCCCCCTGCCTGCTCGGTGGTAGTGTGAGTACACGCCGAGCCCGTCCTCCTTTCTCCACCGCTGTCAGCGGAGAAAACTGTGGCCCCTACAGGGCCCCGCCATCAGGTTTTTTACCGAGGTTTCCTCCTCCATGCTCCGAAGAGCGAAGAGCCAGCAGGGCAACGGGCAGACACGCCCACCCTGCTGGACCAGGCCTTGCCCGAGAGCCGATAAACGGCTGCCTCTTCTGCTAGAATATTGGCCGCTGGCGATAATCCTCTCCTCCAAGAGGACAAGGAGGAAACAGTACCATCGCCAGCGTTTCCAGGGTGCACCACGAGGAGGTTTTCTAGCCTAGCACCCCACATTATGTGGTCCTATCTTGACCTGTAAATTGCGTTTAAGCTAGAATGATGTAATAATATTGCAAATAATGTATTGATATTTAAATTAAGACTCTTTCACAGGGAATCCGGTGGTCTTCACGCATCACTTCTTCGTCGTGGCAACAACAACACATCTTCGACGCGTCTGACTACGCGGTCAATGCGTTCCTCCTCAAAATATTCCAATGGAAATAACGTTAGTTTGTTATAACCAATGCGGACAGCTATGGCTAATCAAGCCATACTGGAAGAAACTATACGATTCGGAAGTTACAGACAAGTTACATGCAGGGTATGCATCGAAAGGCAGCAAGTGCGAAACAGGCGTAACTACACAGACTTCTAAACTCAATGTGTAAATATACGTGTAATTAGTGATTATTTACGTGTATGTTTATACGTGCATATTATTACAAGAGATTAATAGAAATTAAAGTTAAGATGAAGCTTTTTTGTGTTTGAATTATCAAGTCTTATCATTTTCTTTCCTTTTTTTTCGAAGGAGAGAACCAAATTCCTTTTTTTCAGTGGTTAAAATAGGCAGTAATTTGTATACGTCACGTATATTTCGGGGGCAAAAATACCTACACACTTAATGAGGGGTACAAAGCTGAAGTACTTACCTGGGTCACTGGGTCAACGAGAATTTAAGTGACGACCTAAACATGGAGACGGAATTCGAGTCGTTGTGACTGGAACACAGACGTTCGGTCTACTCATAATGGCCCTCTGGTCAAAATGGCCCTCTTTAAACCTCTTGCAGAATTTTCTGTGATCAAATTCACTCAGAACAAATTCATGCAGAAAAGGCATACAGTGCTCGGCGTTGCTCTCTCATTGAGACCTCTCTGTCTCGCAGGTGAATAAAGTTTTTTATAAGGCAATCAACATAGTGATTAATTAAATTAAGTTATTTCTGTAATATCAGGCGTAGCTGTCAGTTAGTACTTGCAAGTCGTTTTCTTTATTTAAGAGGGCAAACGAGCACACCGATCACAGTGACTACCGCCGCCCATGAACGCCTGCAACTCAGGAAGAAAATTGACTGTTCAAATACGCAGATGTTATGAAGAATAACAGGTAAGAATCTTAAAGGATATTCTTTTTCGATAACCTATCTACTAAGTGAAAATTAAAGAAATATGTTTGAAATTTCAATGTTTTTAATTATTTATACTTATAAATAATTAACCTGAACACTCTTTCAAAAAATATTATGACAGATACTTATAATGACATGACAGGTACTCATAATGACTATGTGTGAGCGTGCTTCCTTTTTTTTTTTTTTTTTTTTTTTTTTAACGGGGGGAGATCCTCATGGATGTCCTCCGCCCAGGGGAAAGGGCGGAGGGGTCTGTCAGACTCCTACTGACTAAAACCCCCCGGTGTTCCGTCTCTCACCTACGCCGGGGATCGCGGGAACTGAGGTGACTTCCGCAATCCCCGACTGGTGCCGGCCCGCCGCTGCGGGCCACATCGCGTCAGCGAGGGGAGTGAGGTGTTTGACTCCCCTCGCGACTACACAGAGGGGCGCACGGGAACACAACGCGCCGCCACCTCGGGTCCAGATGGGGCGACGAACATCCCCAAGTCCGTCGCCCCTGGACCCAGCTAGGGGGGCCGGTGGAGGGCAGCATATGCCCTCCTCCGACGCCCGGTGCGCCTGCTGCGGATCGGGAGAGAGGTCAAGATCTCCCTCTCCCTCTCCGCAGCCTCCTTCTGCGAGATAACCGTTTAGCAGAAGGACGCCACCGCGTCCCAGGACTCCTCGCTGTCGACCATAGAACGAACTACGGCCGGCAGCGAGAGGTCACTGCCTACTACAGATATGAGGGCACGGCGCGGCTCCTCCCAGGCGGCACACTCTGCCAGCGTATGCCGCGCCGTGTCCTCCCGACAGTCGACGCAGTGGTGACACCGAGCGTCCGGCTCCCTGCCCAAGCGACACAGGAACCTCCCGAAGCAGCCATGCCCAGAGAGGACCTGCGTCACACGGAACGACAGGGAGCCGTGCCTTCTGTCGAGCCAGAGGTCGAGCACTGGCCGGATGGCCTCGATAGTGACAAGGCCGGCGGAAGGGCGTGAAAGCCTGTCCCGCCATTCCACCACCAGGACCTCGCGCAGCTGTGACCGACGCAGCTCGATGTCTCGCTGCGCCAGTCCCTCACCGCGAGTCCGCGCGTCCTCACGCCATCGATGCAGTGACGCGAGGACTTTTGCCTCCAGGTCCCAGGGCGGAGATCCGGCCAGTACGCAAGCCGCCTCGTGGGAGATCGTGCGATAACCCCTAACAACTCTGACGGCCATCACCCTCTGCGGCTTCCGCAGAACGGTGATAGCGCCGGCCGTCAGGTCAGCCGCCCAGATAGGGGCCCCATATAGGGCCATCGATCGCACTATCCCCTCGTACAGCCGCCTGCAGGCGGCTCTCGGGTCCGACCTATTGGGAAGCAGCGTTGACAGCGCCCCAGCCGCGCCCAACAACTTGGGCGCCAGCCGCCGGAAGTGGGGGCCAGGATCCCACCGGCTGTCGAGCACCAATCCTAGATATTTTAGGGTGGACTCGACAGCGATTCGAGCCACCATGTGCAATCCCGGCGGCGGCGCCCGTCGGGGGCCATGAAAAGCTATGGCCTCCGACTTGTTGAGGGCCACCTCCAGGCCAAGGCGCCGTATGCGGCTCACCACTTGTGAAACCGCCGCCGTCGCTAGCAACGCTGCCTCCCTGTACGAGCTCCCCCGGGCAGTGACCAACGTGTCGTCAGCGTAACACGTCAGGTCTACCCCCGGTTGGAGCTCGCCCCTCAGCACCCAGTCGTAACCGATGTTCCACAGGAGCGGGCCTAGGACTGACCCCTGCGGAACACCGCACGACATTAGGCGCTGATGTTTGCCATCACGTCCCAGATAGGTGACACACCTCTCCGATAAATACGCCCCAACAATGCGGCGGAGGTGGGGAGGCACTTGATGGTAGCGCATTGCCTCCCGAATACAACTCCAGGGCAGGGTGTTGAAGGCGTTGGAGGTGTCCAAGGACACCGCCAACATCACCCCGCCGCGGGACACCGCTTCCTCCGCCAGGACTCTCACTCGCGAAATCGCCGTAATAGTCGAGCGCCCATGCTGAAACCCGAACTGGCACTCGGCCAGGTCCGGCCCCTCCTCACACAAGTGGCGGACGAGGCGGGCTGCAACTATCCGCTCGAACAGCTTTCCCACCTCGTCCAGCAGCACTATGGGCCGGTATGCGGACGGCGAGTCCGCAGGGCGCCCCACCTTTCTGAGCAGGACCAGACGACCCGTTTTCCACTGAAAGGGAAACTGGCCCCGCTCCAGGCACGCTGAGTAGAGTCCTATCAATTGGGGCTCCAGCTCCTTCAGAGCCAGGGCCAACACGCAGCCGTGAATGCCATCGGGCCCCGGGGCAGTATTCTTCGCCCGGAGCCGAATCACGGCCGCCCCCAACTCTGATTGTGTCACCTCTGGGACGTTGGCGTCCTCTTCTTCAGACTCCGCGGCTGTGGGCAAAGCCATCGGCGGCGGAGTATGCTCCGCTTGAGCCGGGAAGAGGGATGCGACTACGTCCTCCAGCAGCTCGGGTTGGAGACTCTCCGTAATTGGCGGCGCCCATGGGCCGAGTTTCCCTCGGACCGAGCGGTATGGACGCCCCCACGGATCCCCGTTTAGAGTCTCCAACATCTCCTCCCTAGCTCGCGTCTTCGCCTCGCCGATGGCCAGCCGCAGAGCCTCCTTAGCCGCACGGTACACCTCATACAGCGCGGCTTCTTCGTCAGGAACCCGACGACGTCTTCTCCGGTATCGGGTGTACTGGCGCCTGACTCGAACGCACGAGACGCGCAAATGCGCGATCTCGGCGGACCACCAGTACACCTGGCGCCTTCTGGATTGTGTGTGGATCCGGGGCATGGACGCGTCACTAATTTGCGTCATTGCCCCGTGAAACCACTGCGCCTCCTCTTCGACGTCGACGGGTACGGTCGTTGCCGACTCCCAGATCCAGGCCTGCACAATAGCGGCCTCCTCGAGTAGCTCCCTGTCGAGGCGCCTACGCGCCCAGCGAGGACCGTCCCTTCGCGGGGTAGACGAACTACGGCCGTCCGCGGTCCGGGCGGAGACGCTGAAACGGATGTAACGGTGATCCGACAACGTCTCCACCCCCACATCGACACGCCAGTTGCTGACACGGCTCGCGACAGCGGGACTAGCGAACGAAACGTCCACTATGGAACCGCCCCGCTGTCGCACGCACGTGTAGGCCGAGCCCCGATTCAAGACGGTCAAGCCGGTCGTGACCGCCCACTCCTCCAATGCCTCGCCTTTGGCGTCGGTGACCGGGGACCCCCACGCCGCAGACTTGGCATTGAGATCCCCGAGCAGCAGCACCGGGCGAGGGTTGTACCGGTTCACGACGGCACCCAACTCGACAAGGAAGCTCTCGAAGTCGGCGAGGCTCCTGCTGGGCGAGAAATACGCCCCAACAGTTCCAATGCCGTCCACGAGGGCGGCCACCCAGCCGTGACCTCGGGACGGGTCAGCAAGAGCCCCGCCAATGATGGCCACCGAGCCGTCCAAGTCCCCCGCCCAGTTATTTCGGAGGGGGACATAGTACGGCTCGGCGACCACAGCCACATGAATCGACCACTCCGCCATGCTCTGGATCAAGAGATCCTGAGCCCTGGCAGAATGGTTGATATTGCCCTGGAGGAAATGGAATTGCGCCATTACGCACAATCCATTCCCTCGGCACTCCTGGGCCGGGAGTCGGCCGAAGAGCCACCAGGCTGAGGTACAGCCTTGGCTGGCCTCCTCTTTTTCTTGCCCTTCTTTTGGGCGGGGGCACCACAGGCCTTCCCGGCCATGCATGGGAGACCCGCGGACCACACCGCGGGTCTCCCTGCAGCTGTACAGAGGCTGCAGTTTGGCTTCGCGGAGCACTGGGCCGCTCTGTGGCCGGGCTCACCGCAGCGGTAGCACTGATCGCTGCGGTTAATTGCGGCGGTGCACCGCACCCCGACGTGCCCAACCTCAAGGCATCGGTAGCACCGCATAGCCCTAGGTTGCAGCAGCTTCACCCGTGCCGCAACCCATCCCACCAAAATCCGTCCGCTGTCGGCTATCTGTTTCGCCGCCGCTGCCGGGCACTTCAGCCAAATGGTGCCGAGCCCAGCAGCGCCGACGCGAATC